GTATTCCATAATCGGCTAGGGATTGTCATAACGAATTCATCGATACCGGGTTTGATAGGGTTATTTCAAACGATTATTCGCGTTCTAAGTTGAATTCGACATGATAATCCCTAACCGATTATGGAATACAATACAGGGTGTCCCATTTGAAAATCAGAAGTTGGAGTCGTTTCCGGTGGAACTGAAAGTGATAGAAGGAAGCGATATAAAGATTTCGTCTATCACTAAGCACCACCCTGTTTATTATTCGAAACTGAACGATGACCGAGAATAGTGAAAACTTTCATGGAATAGAACGATAAAAAGTTCATTTCTTCAATATTTCCAGCAGAACATGGAATATGGCAAATGACCCTTGAAAAATCACCGAAAAAATCAACGAACTTTTTTCCCGTTATCGAAATCTTAACTAAAATTGGCGAGTTTTACCTAACTAAACATGTATCGAACCTTCTCAGTTTTTTTTATAATATTTTCACCTTTTTTTTTTCTTATTTTTATTCACGAAAAAAGAGTTCGTTGGAAAACAATAACACCCACTCAATCAAGACATTTATAAAACGCTTACAACCTAATGCTTCCTTATCAGTAAAAGGTTCAGTGAACAATAAGTTTCCAGCAAAAACGACAATGAATATGTATAATATTTATATTTTTTTTCCAAACTTGAATAATACTATCGAACGTATGTATCAACTATTACGCGAAAATGTCTTCGGAATACGAGCTTTTCTCGAAGATGGGAAGAAAAGTCTCAACATGAAATGTGACGTTTGTAAAAATGTAGTGGCGTTCAAAGTGTGTCGAACAACTTTGAGAATAATTTCAAACAAAATAAAAATTGACTACTTAAGTAATTACCTATGAAAGGCATAGATGGTAAACAACCTGAGTACTTCCTTGAAAAATAAAACCTCTCAAATTCGAAAACGGTCGAACAATTTGAGATTTGCCCACGGATCGCCCAATGAAAAGTATGCAACAAGTGAAAGCAAGCAATAGTTTTTCTATTGTTGTCTTCATAAAAGTAATATAATATTCATGAAATCCAACAATAATTGATTATATCAACAGTTCCATGTCCATTTGTTGCATACTTCTAGAAAGAAAGACATGCACATTTTGTTATTCACCTTTCAACATTGTGCTTGGGCTAGTAAGAATCAATCGATCAATCAACCTTATTATCCCCAAGAAACAAAATTTTTTCATGGCAGGAAATATGGTGGATATACAGGGTGAGTCGGTTTCTTGTAGCAAAAAAACTATAAAAATCAGATAAGATGTCAATATTACAGGAGAAGATGTTTCTTGAATTACTTTTCAAATTTTTCAATCCTATTAATCAGTATTGAAAAGGAAAATTCTTAGATAAAATTATGAACATGAAAAAATTGATATATACAGGGTGACATTGAAATAAGTGCAAATATATCAAACATTGAGAAAGCTCGACGCGTACTATCGAATCGCACTTATACAAAAATGTAGGGATCAAAATGAAATTTGAGAGAACCTTTCTGCCACTCAAAGTTCTACAATGTAGCAAATCTGACGTCACCTCTGTTGAAATTTCCATGCGATAGGCTCAATCAAGTGGCGTACCTGATTTTTCTCTCGTATTTTGTTAAATTTTTGGGATGAAATTTCTCGTTAATTGGAAAATTTTGAAAAAATCTGATATCATGGGAATATTCCTTAGACTGTATCATATCAATGTGCTGAGTATGTGCACTTATTTCTGAAGCACCTTGTATATATAAAGAAATACATTGAGAATTCACATTCTTTATGTGATGAAAATATCAATTTGTTCTCGGTTTATTCAACAGAAAACAACTACTTTCCTGGCTATATGCCACAACGAACATCGAATTATATCTATTGAACACACACGATAACAAAATATTCTGAATTTGAAATTTTGCATTCTCCTTCAGATAAAAATATGTATATGCACATAATATCATTCTGAATATTCAACAGAAAACAACTACTTTCCTGGCTATTTGCCACGTCGAACATTGAATTATATCTGTTAAACATCCAAAAGGATAACATGAAAAATGAAAATCCTCTGAAATTGAGAATTGACATTCTCTCTCAAATCGGAAAGTAGTTGTTTTCGAAAATATCTAGTAACTATCTTCTTCTGTAAAACTTCTTAGTAGGATCCAAATTATGGCGGAGTACGGTCGAGACACCAATATTGCATTTGCTGAGAACATTAAGATGCTGTATTTATTGCATATCAACCATGTATTCCAGTCAAACATCATGTTCCTTTTGGCCTCTTCCAATCGGGAATTTTCAGAAATGTATCACCAAATTCCGAAAAATTCTACGATATGTCGAAAAATTCGAGGGCATTCCATAAATATCCTCAGAATTCCAAGGCATTCAAGGGATTCCAAGTTATTCTAAAGAATTCCAAATAATTCCAGAGAATTCCTTCCAGGCTATGTTTCGACATTAACGTTATCAACTGTTGAAAGGCGAATAACATTTTGGGCACCACTTCCTTCTATCTCTGTACATATTAAACCCAGAATATCAGGCAGATTCCTGTCAAAAGCACTAAAACACAACATACAGTGTCCGTCATAATGAAGTAAATAACATGGAAAAAAGTTTATCATTATTCCTATGAAGTGGCGAGAAGTGGGATAATGGAAATGTTTATTCAAAGAATGATTGGAAATTCAAAATTACTATTTTTTCCAGTAGGTTCTGGTTTCCTTATAAAACTTAATTTTTTTCCTGATAGACTGTAGTGGGACAATTTTATTTCGATGATGAGAAAAACAAGACTATTCCAGACAGAGATGAATGATGCATGATTTCTGACAAAGCTCCAAGATTGGTGAATCGGTAAGTTGATTTTTGGGACAAAGATAATAAGAACAAGAAGATCATTTCTAACCTATATTAACTTTTTGCAAATCGCGAAACTTTCGAATATTAAATTGAAATATTTCCACAAGAGTATGATTAAGAAATGTTTTGTGCCTAATTGCAATTATAAAAACATCATTTAGCTGGGAAATTTGGGAACAAATCTGGCCCCTCACTGGGTAAACACAATATTTTAGTAGTAGTTTTGCTTTGCAAAAATTCATTGGGAAATTGCTTGAAAAATAAATGATCCATCTCCTAGAAGAACATTCAAGGGGAGATGCAAGCAGTATCTAGTCTAGGGAATAACATTGTTTCATACCAATTGATCATATTGTTGCATAGGTAAACATATCAATCAGTGACTGATTTAATGAGGATTCTCCATATGATGGGTATTCTTCTCTAGAAACTCGGTACATGAACATAAAATTCAACACCAAGCAGAGTTCTCGGCAAACATTTTTCAATATGTCATCATCTCGACTCTTCATAGTTTTCACATGACGTCTGTCAAAACCGATGTTCACCGGGCCAGGAAGGTAGTTGTTTTCTGTTGAACATTCCGACAAATATTTTCATCAGATAGAGACTGCGAATTCTCAATGTATTTCTTTATATGTATCCATTTTTTTTTCTGTTCATAATATATCTGAGAATATTCCTTTTCAAAACTTACATACCCAATCAATAGATTCAAACTTGAACGATGAAAATTTACTTTTGACCTCAAATCAGATTCGTGTTTGGGTTTTCTCAATTGAGAATTCCCCACACCCTGTATGATGAATAACAGTTGATCATACAACTGACAAACAACCTAGAATAATTTCTTCCAATACTCTGATAATAAACTTTCTTGCCATGTCACACACTTCATATTGCTTGACACTGTATGATCCTGCAAACACATACACCCTTACGGAAACCAGTAGTTTCGGACAGCACGTTTCGTGGCCACTCGCGGCTTGTATGCGCAGTAGCTCAGCTAGCAGGGCAGATGCTTTGTTTACACTTCTTCGATTTATATGCCTTTATGATTCATTATCTGATAGGAACAACGAGTATAACGATTTATTAATTGTGACTAGTATTGTTTGGTGAACCACTTATGTGAAGTCACTTATTCCGCACCAGGTCTGGAGATCAGTTTGACTTTTGAGTGCTATTGATATTATTGTTCATCGAGCTGTTCATCATTAGAAGATAATGGCTGCCTACCGTTTCATTTGTATCAAAAATAGGACAGATTGCAGTTTAAGTTTCCTCAGATTTTCAAAAGATGAGCCAAGGAAAGAAGTGTATCCAGTGAAATCTATAATCTGTTTGTCATCCATTAACATTACCAAATTATTCATTATCATATTATAAACACAATGTGGTATAAACCCTGGTGTTTAAATCTGAATTTCAATATTTTCACGAGTGGTTCACATAAAATTCAGTGATGACGAGCGAGTCGTCATTAGCTCGACCTAGGGTCCCTTGATAGAAATTGACGTTGAAGTCATCTTAACAGGGTACGGACAGATCCTCGTCTCCTCTCACTCTAAAGTGTTTGTGAAACAGTTATATAGTTCCATCCTTATTCAATTCTGGGGATGAACACTAGATTTTTGACATTCGTTGTTTTTTAGGTCCATATGGAATTCCTGATTCAAGGTATAGATGAAGAATCCTCTAGTTTTAGAGTTTACTACTCCAGCATAATCTTTGCGAGGTAGGGAACATATGAATAATTGTACTGAAAGCTTAATATATTTCACCAAAAGAGACTGTCCTCAGACTGTATACCAGGGTTGACTGAATTGACTAAATGAATTCTGATTTCAAGCTGAGCAGAAGTTTATCTATGAGCTGAATGAGCTGAGCGTTATGATTGAGAAATGGTGGAAACCTCGATGTGGGGGTATCTGAACTACTGTACTCATGTCATGTGTGCTAAATATATTTTCGGAAATCCAATTCGGAGAAGAATTTATGGAGTGACTAATATCACACTATGTATAAAACTTCGTCTGGGACGAAAAGTAGGCTGATAAAAAGTAATACGTAAAATGTGCAGGAAGATAAAGAATAGAATATACTTTACCCTCATGTTATACATATGATTTTTCCGTCTCCCTTAAATAAAAAGTAATTGTCGAATAATTTATTGATGAAAGTAACAAAGAAGTAGGTATACACAGTATAACTTATAGGCACGTTATTTTCACTCTTGCATCCTACATATTTTCTATTTATGGTAGAGTAATAGTTAAATAAACGAATGTCTTTCGCCATATTGGATCCATCATCTTGGATTTTCCAAGACGAAACAATCATCATCTCCAACACCGGGAAACCCCAGATACCTTCCAATTTTGAATAGAATCGGATCACAATTACAAAACTTGTTCGCCATATGATCTTCCTCAACAAGTTAATACCCTGTACATACCTATTATTAAAATTTTGAATGATTTTCTGTTGCGCCCATGGATGTGACGTGACAGCAATGTCAGGGATTTCAGTAGACAAAACCAAAGTCTCTAGATCACTAAAAAAGTATGCAGCTATGATCTGTCCGTACCCTGTTAAGGTGACTTCAACGTCAATTTCCATCTAGGGACCCTAGCTCGACCAAGCCTGAAACACACGAGTCTGTGAGTGGTGGTATGCGCACTGGTCTGGCAAAAAATAGAACTTGTGGACACCAACATCAAACGTTCTGACACAAAGTGAAATTACTGATTTCCGTAAGACGGTATACTGTGTTACAAACCAGATTTCCATCACGACCTTCTCCATTCCGAGGGCTACACGAACCTCAAGACCACCCCAGACCGAATAACCTCCCACCTAACCCCGCCCACCACCACGCCCTTCCAATTCCAAACCACGCCCCCGAAGACGAATCAGCTGCTGGGCGGAGACGCATCGTTCGTGCGCGCAGCATTCCCCCACCCCGCTGCAGCGGCGTTGCCAGACGGCTCGAACACCACCTCGCGCTGTTGCACCAAGAAGATCGGCCTGCCCGCTTCGGGCTGCGCGAAGTTGCACAGATGAAGGCGGTCGACGGCGGGATCGTCTGAGGCGGTTTCCGGGCGCTGGTAGGAGAAACCGACGCCACTGCCGCCGCTAGATGGCGTCGCTAGGTCGGGCCTTTGTCATTTGGTGTTCGCCTGCAGGGCGGTGTTTATCTGGGACCAGAGGTCTTTCTTGCAGGACTTCGACCTGAAAGACGGAAGGAGAAAGGTTGTAGGCATGAGCGGAATGTCATTCATTTTTGGTTCACGTTAGGTTCAAGTAGGGTATTCCGGGTCAATCGTTTGAAACGTCTCTTTCTCATCAGTGTCAATCGAATCAGGAATAGTGCGAATAATAACTAAAATCAATAGAACTGAAGGAGCGAAGAAGTGGGGAAATGGAAAAATGGGGAGGTGAAGAAGCAACGACGTGAAGGGGGAAAGTAGTGAGATGTATTGAGGAAGTAACTTTCCACGATATTCCTTCCCGAAAAGTAAGTGAAACTTCTCAATTTGAAACATGAACGATTTCGTTCAGTTTCAGTTTTCTATTCTTGTGGTTCACTCACACATTGTCGATCTGAATGAAAAGCTTGTTGGTAGCCAAGAGGCATAATATTGTCTGTTCATTGATATAAACATTTGTTTGCCTGTCAATGGTGCTACTGTATAGGTCTCTCAATAGCTCATTTGTTTCAATTTCAGTGACACTGTTTTGGCGGTGTTGGTACTACCTCACACTCCTGACAGTTTTGACCTAGTTGGTCTGGCCCTGGTGCCTAACCGTTGAATTTAATTTTTTGAATTATCTTTCTTCGAATTCTTGCCATTGCCATTGCCATTGTATCTTTTATTCCTTATTTCTCCTGGTGTTGCTTGTTCTCTAATAGTGAGTTGGTTTGAGTTTTTTTGTTGCTGTTGTTTGTATTCATAAGTAAAGTAGGTACTTACTTCCAAGTAACATTGTATTGCTTATTTTCCTTAGCTGATTTACTTCTACCTAGTTTGAAGCTTCTATTACAATAGTGGTTATTATTTTGGTTGCCAATTTGCTATAATTTTTCTATCTAGTCCTTCTTTTAGCATAATTAGTTCACTGTTTGATTTTGAGAGTTTGTGGGTTTGATTGTGCTGTGCATAAAGTCGCTTATAAACTGCCAAGTTCCATTTTGCACTTCAATAGGTGTTGTGAGAATATCTACACACTGTTTCCCCAATGTTGTAAATTTGAGGCAACAATGAGTTCAGGCAATATTCAATACATATCAAGGTCTTGGATCGCATATTCCAAAATAATGCATTGATATTTCGGGAATGACAATATTTGAAATGTGTGAGCATGATTATGTTATGTTCTGAATAACGGAATTTCATGAATTTGTAAGGTGACATCAAAAATATAAAGGGAAATAAGCAGGTCCTACCTTTCTGCTTGGCTTGCATGTCAAAAAACTTCAAACAGTAACTTTTTTATCAGAGCATTGATGAGTGTCAGTCGAGGTTCACGCAGTTCCTAGTAAAATTCAAATAGCATCATAAATCAAGCTAATAGAACATTTCGTAAACAACTTCCTTCTTCCATTCAAGTATAGGTAGATGATTTTCATACTTGATAAATATATTTATTGATTGTTTCAACCTCGAGTATCAACATGAGAGATTTTTATTTACAAACTTGACACACTTTACAGTCTATGCTTGACAGGAACATGAAAATTTTTAGGTTATGAATGAAAAATGAACAACTCAGTTCATGTGTTCATGTAGATGTCTGATGATAGATTTTTATTTACAAATTTGACACTTTTGCCAGTCTATGATTGACAGGAACATGAAAAATGTTCAGGTTATGAATGAAAAATAAACAACTTAGTTCATGTGTTCATGTAGATGTCTCTACGGTAAGGGTCGCGTGCACGATGACCGACCCTAGAGGTAAAACATTGAAACATAATCTCACTTTTCTGTAGAACATTCAAACACAACCTCACTCTTCTTATTTCTTTACAAAGGATTCAAAGGTTTTCAATAGTTTTTCACCAGATTTTGGCATAAGAATCGTGTTTTTGGGCTATTCATTAATTCAAGGATGTCATCACATTGTGCTATTGTACAATGCACAAAAATGAAGCAAGAGACGAAGGAATATGATTTTTCAAGTAAATAGTGTTCTCACATAGTTTTCATTATGAAATTTTGTCATTTCTCACTAGAATTCTTTCTGCCACTTCTGCAACAGAAGCTAATACTGCTGATGGAGTGAAAAAATCTCCCGTTTGATTGCATGAATCCAATCTTCTTGCCTTCTTTTATAAACTTCACGAGTATTTCTATTAGCTCCTATTGCAGAAGGAATTCCAATGAGAAATGACAAAATTTCAAAATGAAAACTATATGTGAGTGACATAGTGCTTTTAAATCACAATATACCTCAGATAGTTTTTATTATAAATTTTTTCAATTTCTTATTAGAATTCCTTATGCCACTTCTGCAATAGAAGCTAATACTGCTAATAGAGTGAAAATGTCTACAGCACACACGATCATATTTCGTCAGCATGTCAAATCAGTCCTCCCGTTTGATTGCATGAATCCAATCTTCTCACCTTCTTCTAGAAACTTCACGAGTATTTTCATTAGCTCCTATTGCAGAAGGAAACCTAAAGAGAAAAGACATATTTTTCAAATGAAAACTATATGTGACTAAAGTAAAGTCGGTCATTTGTCATTTGTTTTCGCCAATGAACAGACAATATTATACTTCTCGCCTACTAACTAGCAAACTAGCTTTTCCATTTAGATCGACAATAGTAATATTCTTTTTAGCAACTTTGACTGAGATTAACCAAGGTTCTCAGTGCGGCTCAATAGCTCAGTTGTATTACATGTTTCATTTATCTTAGTCTGAGTTGTCTTAAGAACTTATTGAGACTATTTCTTCCCCCTCACCCCAACTGAGCTTGCTATTCATCTGGTGTTGTAGTGAGAAAAAGGTGAGACTGGATTGATCCTAGTAATTCATAAGTTCTGTGCTGAAAATTGTGAGGTTATATTTTCATTTTGACATGCTTTCAGCTTTGAAGTTTCAGTCCATAGGTTACATCCTTCAAAAAAAATAATTAATTTGTTTCCAAAATTATTATACTCACTACAATAATATTTCTATGCTCCTCATTAATTTATATTGGGTTATGTTTTCTTTACTTGTCCTTCCTGACAGATAAAAACGTGTTCTCTTTATTCAATCGACAACTCAGATCCGTCTCACCTCCTTCCAACTCAATTGATCTCAGTAGTGAAAATGTAACAAGGTAAAAAGAATATTGCTAATGACTCACCTCCTGATCGACTGCAGCCACTCTTTGAACTGCGCCGACCCGTCGGGCGTGATCTGAAAGGCCGCCCTCGCCGCACAAACGATGCTCACGAAGTCCTCGTAGTCTGCGGCAGTCAGATGGTACAGCTTCTGGTGCATGCATTGTATGTACATCTGCTGGCACTTTTGCACCAGCGGCGTGAGAGCGGTGCGCAGGTGCTGCATCACCAGACCGGGGTTGTTGCGCGAGAGATAGGTAGCGGCCTCGATGGCGACGTCGTGCAACACGAACGGGCTGACGATCGAGTTGACGGCGCACACGCAGAAGTGGTGCAGGTATTGCGTGCCTGGAAAAAGAGGGAGACGAACGGTAACGGACAGAAAAGGCACTCAGACACAATCTCAGACATTACAATAGCCATTTCGCTCGCCGTCTCCTCGAACGAAGACAGTTTCTTTCAACATGCCTTTAATACATCTCAAATTATTGGAAATGAAGACGCTTGCAGCTTGCCGAAGAATATTGTGAGGAAGTTCTGTACTTTGTAGTTCTGTATAGGATCCCATGATGCAAACTGACGTATTTGTCATCTAACAGGGTACGGACAGATCATACCTCCTCTCTTATCTAGTGACTTTGGTTTCGTGTATTGGCGTCCCTGGCATGACATAACAAATGATTCCCAACATGAATATATACAGCACACATGACATATGAGCACATTAGTTTGAACACCTACATAAAATTTTTCACCATTTCTCAACCATAAGGCTTAGTCTGAAATCAAAATTCATTTATTGATAGGTACTGCCTAAGAAGAGTCCCATTTGGTAAAAAACGTATTAAACTTTCAGAAAAATTTGCTCACTGCCTCACAAAGATTATGCTGACATTGAGGAATCAAAAACTCGAAAATTATCATCATCATTTGAATATAATATGTATAGTTGAATGAGAAATTACATGTGGAAATTACGTATGATACGCCAATGTTCTCAATATAACCTAAAAAACAACGAATGACAGAAATCTAGTGTTTATCCCCAGAAATGAATAAAGATGGAACTATATAATCGTTTCACAAACACTTTAGAGTGAGAGGAGACGAGGATCTGTCCGTACCCTGTTAAGATGACAAATACGTCAATTCACATCAAGAAACCCTAGTTCTGTAGTTCTTCCCGGTTGCGGAACTGTCGAAATTATTTACTTGTGTCGACTGATGGATCTATCATCAAGGACATTGTGAGTTAAAGGCACAGGCTATCAAGGTGCACATAACCCTATTTCAATTTATTATAGTGTGTGGTTGGATGGCCAAATGATCTCTTACTGTTGAGTGGTGAGGAGCTCTTGCACCTTATCTTTTTTTGGGGACATATCTTTGTGCCCAAAGGGTCATTCCAACATACATATACCATAAAAAATCGAGACAATAATAATTGCACAATTATTGTTTTCCATAAAGAAAAATATAATAAAATATAGAATGAAAATATTATAATCCATTACAAGTAATCAAATTGTGAATGATTAGTAGATATTTAATTAAAGTTTAAATTTAGTTTAAAGATTTCAAGATGTTTTGCTTCTTCTATTTTTTTCAACTCATTAGGAAAGGAGCTATATAAAATCATTCCATTATGGAATGTTGATTGTTTACCAAAGTTTGACTTATAATTACTTGCTATCAATAAATTAAATTGCCTTGTTTCATGGGCGTGAATCGTGTTAACTTCATTGAGTTTCAAATTTGATATTTTCAACAGATTTAGATTTAATGAAACTAAATTCAGAAAGTCTTTAGGTTTGTATAGATTCACAATTGATTCTAAAATGGGTGAATTGAAGATGCACATTGATTTATTTTGTAATTTCATCAGTGGCTTCTAACGTGAATTATTTGTACTTCCCCAAATAGATATTAGATATTGTAAATTTGAATAAAAAAAGACAGAAATAAATACTGTTTAGGTATCTAATAGGAAAGACATTTCGAATTTTATATATAATACCAGCAATACGATTCAATTTTTTCCTCAAATGATGTTACATTTTTTGTTCATTCAATGGATTTGTTATTGCTGATGAGTATTCCACATTTTGAATGACCTTTTCGAATTTTTAGAAATCATAATGGCCCGAAAATTGGGGAAAAAAATTGAAATTGTTGAAATTTGTTGAGTGGATATAAAATTTTGTGAAAAAACCCACATTATTCGTTATTTTTTGATAAAAACTTCGAGTTTGACGAGATTTCGAATCATTTTCAGAGACAAAATAATTCATGAACATCAAATTTGCGTGAATATACATATTTTCATGATACGGACTTTAATGATGACACTGTACATTGAATTTCTTTCTAAACCACACCTCGTATACATTATTTTTGATGTGATAAGTCAGAAATACAATTCCTGTTCGAGAATTATTCCGTTAGAATGATGACGTAACTGATGAATCACTAAAGAGGTTAATCATGCATCCGATACCGGTGGCGACGCAGTATTGTATTAGATTTCATCGCGTGCAGTCGATCTGATTGATTTGAAAAAATAACTCATATTGTTTACACGTGGGAATCAAAATGTATGGTGTCATTGAGTGATTATAGTGAGATGTTTGTGTATATGTGTGAGTGAGTTCTGGTGGAATTTTCCAGCAATAAAAAGACTGGAATGTTGTGTATTGTTGTTATTCTTCATTTTAGATATGGTGAGTGATTTTTTTAATATTTTCTTTCTATTCATATACGGAGTGATTGAATAGAAATCAATAGAACAAGGTGCAAAATTTTTTTCCATTTTGTGAAGACTGTAGAACAAATGGTAATTTTTTACTTAGAGGGCATTGTCGAATTTTTTCAAAATTTTTGCCAGTACTTACGTATTTTGGGGTGTAGAATACGAATCTGAAAACCAAAAAGCTGGGAAACCAATACTTTTCGAGATATTTGCAAAACAAAATCTTTATCATCACTGTTTTGCTGTTGTTTGGCGGCTCATCACTGGCAATAGGTACTGGCATGTCTGGTGTATACGCACTCCGTGCATATGTTAATGGGAAATAAATTACCAAATTTAGGGTATTTTCTTTGAAAAATTAATGGATATTGCAAAAACTTAATACTGTTAGTTATTTTCCTAGCACCTATTCACAAAAAAATAACAACTATGACAGCTAACAGCACCAAAAAAATCAATGTCAATTGTTTGATCAACAAACAACAAAGAAAGATGATGGCAATGTTGCCATAGCTCGTCCGTTTAACGCTTATTTTCTTTCTAGACGATTCTCAGAAATAAACATGAAATAAATTAAGTTAAATTAATTTAAATTTAATTTCTATACATAGTTTTAGTGTGATTAAAAAAATTGAAAATTCTTTCATTGAATGGAATAGAAAACAATATAGGGAGAGTATTCCAACCATATTCTTTCCAATGTGTGTTTGAAAAATGAGATCTACTTAACCCGAACAAACTAACCTAACTATAGAGCTCGGATTACGATAGACGTTGCGGTTACGATAGACGCTGCGGTTACGATAAACGCTGCGGTTGCGATAAACGCTGCGGTTCCGATAGACGCTGCGGTTACGTTATCCGAGCTCTATAGTAACCGCGGTTCTATCGTAACCGCAACGTCTATCGTAATCCGAGCTCTATAGTTAGGTTAGTTTGTTCGGGTTAAGTAGATCTCATTTTTCAAACACACATTGGAAAGAATATGGTTGGAATACCCTCCCTATATTGTTTTCTATTCCTATTACGGGAAAAAACAAGATCTGGCAACATTGCTTGTTATTGTCTGTCAATTTATCATGTCTGTCAAGTGTCACGTTCACGTTTGATGCATCTTTTAATCATAAAAAAACACATACATAAAATTAACAAGGTAAATAGCAAATGAAATGCTTTCATTGTTAAAATACCCAAATAAAATGAATTGAGAAATACATAATTCATCAATCAACAACGAAAGAAAGAAGATAGAGAATTATACCGCTTGAGGAATGTTGCTAAAAGACGCTGAAAAATGATGAACAAAATGACTTATTTTGCAAATATCTCGAAAAGTATTGGTTTCCCAGCTTTTTGGTTTTCAGATTCGTATTCTACACCCCAAAATACGTAAGTACTGGCAAAAATTTTGAAAAAATTCGACAATGCCCTCTAAGTAAAAAATTACCGAACAAATTATTTGCAAAAGGTCTTCGATCTCATTTTTTTCAATAATAATCTTATATGCATGGTGAACTAACTTCGTGTGATGACTTCATGAGTAACTTTTTTTAATGGAAATCCCTTTTTTTTGATTTTCGGATTTTCTGCTGAGCTGATTACAAAAAAGGATCAAAAGTTTCTTGAAATTGGTACAGGTGGTCAAAAATTCCATAGTTTATGAAAATTCAAACCGAAGATCGATATGTATCAGGAATTTTCAATAGTTATTTTTCTTCTACTAATAATTAATTCATGTGACACTTCAGAATCTTTTTCGTTCGAAAGATTGATTTTTCGACTTTGTGATTTTCTGACAGAAAATGTCTAATTATTAATTTGCAAAAATCATCAACTTCATTTTGTACTTTTTCCAAAGTAAGAACAGTTCATGAAATCCTAATTTGCACGAATATAAAAAAAATCTATATGATGCGGACTTCAACGGTGACAATGTATACTGAAGTTCTTTTCACCCCACACTGTATACCTCCCATAGAGTCAAACAAATCGACCATCAGTCTCGTATTAGATTGCAACGCGTACGGTTTATTTGAGTGATGAAAAAAAAAAGAACTCGAGTTATTAAAAGTGAAAAACTGAAAATTATCTTCGGTGTAGTGATTTTATTTTCATTTGAGTGCATGAAAGTTGTCTCTTTTCGACATGGTAAGTGTGTTGATTGATTGTCTTTATTACCCCAAGAAACATTATTGTTTATAATAGGGATATATACAACAAAACATACATATAACATAATAAATCGAGACAATAATAATTGCACAATTATTGTTTTCCATAAAGAAAAATATAATAAAATATAAAATGAAAATATTATAATCCATTACAAGTAATCAAATTGTGAATGATTAGTAGATATGGAATTAAAGTTTACTGAGCAAATATTTCTTTACTTTGATTTCAAGATGTTTTGCTTTTTCTATTTTTTCAACTCATTCGGAAAGGAGCTATATAAAATCATCCCATTATGGAATATTGATTGTTTACCAAAGTTTGACTTATAATTACTTGCTATCAATAAATTAAATTGCCTTGTTCCATGGGCGTGAATCGTATTAACTTCATTAAAATTCAAATTTGATATTTTCAACGAATTTAG